TTTCCGTTTTCACAGACCATGATTCTATTATCCCCAGAATGCTCATAACATCTAATTTCCAGTTCCTAAACAGTAAATACCATTTTGGATTTTTACAAAGGCTAAGTAATTTCAAACACTCCTACAGCTGCTGACCTTTAACATGTCTGTTGCTGTAAGGTAGATTTTTCCCTTGTGTAGTTTCCCACACCTCCACAAATTTGAAGTTGAAATACATTTCTCCTGCAAACTGCAGCCTACCCACAATCATAAACAAATTACACTCTCTGTGTCAACACTTGAAACCAAGTTACTAAATCCTAATGTGCTGGGGTGCAATTGCTGCCCCTATCATCTACCACTTACTGCTATCAAAGCATATAACTGGATTAGTGGGAAAACAGCTGTATGACTCATACATTTAAGCTCTTTCAAACAGCAGGTTTTCCTTCTGCAACAAAGCATAGCACTTTAGATAAGAAAAATGCAAATCCCAGGGGAAATCATGACATACTAACCCCTGGCAATCTTTACATGACTTAATAGTTCATTCAACATTTTTAAACTGGAAATAAATGCAAGAACTTTATTCAATCACTAGAACTGATGTATTTTAACACATTTACTTTAAGATTTCTGTTCCCTAGGATTTCTCCATAGACCATGCCAGACATAGTTCATTAACTAATCCTGTCAACTTCTGTATATTATTGGCGTGAGCTTAAATCCGTGTCTCTCAGTTGTGGGCATGAATCATAATACATACAGTTTTTGTGGGATAACATCTTGGCAGAGGACAGCAGTAAAGCAGCTCTCTCATTAACTCAAAACCTCATTACTAAACAATCTATGGTTATTAAATCTAACAAGCCATAAAATTAATGTTGCTTTCTTGGCCGAAATTGTAGATAACTTCTAGTTATTATTAGTGTTCATATATCTATCCACTATTGTATTAACATTGTATTAACAGGAAAATTTCACCTAGCTCTTGGACTTTTTAATTATCCAATGATGTCTAATACCAGGATGCTTCAAGACAAAAATGTCCTTAAGAAATGTACTGAATAAATCCATATTTTATTCACCTAGAACAAAATGTTTAAGTTGAATTGTCAGGGTTTGGATTTATTAAGAAAGAAGTGGAGTTGGACTTTATCTAGGAATTCCTTTTTTGCTATGGAATATTCTGTGAAGAATAATGATCACAGAATCATCTAGGTTGGAAAATACCTTTCGGATAGTCAAGTCCAACCATCAGCGCACCTCTAAACCATGTCTCTAAGTGCTACATCTATCTTAAATACCTCCAGGGATGGTCACTCAACCACTTCACTGGACAGCCTGTTCCAATGCCTGGCAACACTTCTGGTGAAGAAATTTTTCTAATATCCAGTCTAAACCTCCCCAGAACAACTTAAGGCCATCACCTCTTGTTCCACTACTTATTGTCGGGGAGAAGAGACCAAACCCCAACTCCCTACAACCTCTTTTCAGGTAGCTGTAGAGAGCGATAAGGTCTCCCCTGAGCCTCCTTTTCTCCAGACTAAACAACCCCAGTTCTTTCAGCCATTTCTCGTAAGGCTTGATCTCTAGACCCTTCACCAGCTTCATTGCCCTCCTGTAGACGTACTCAAGCACTTAAAAGTCTTTCTTGTAGTGAGGAGCCCCAACTAAACACAGTATTCAAAGTGCGTCCTCACCAGTGCGGAGTATAGGGGGATGATGGCCCTGCTGGCTACACTATTTCTGATACAGGCCAGGATGACACTGGCCTCCTTGGCTGCCTGGGCATACTGCCGGCTCATATACTGCTGCCAACCAACACCCCCAGGTCCCTTTCTGCTGAGCAGCTTTCCAGCCCCAAGCCTGTAGCGTAGCATTGCATTGTTGTGGTTGTTATGGCCCAAGCGCAGCACCTGGCACTTTGCCTTGCTGAACCTCATACCACTGGCCACAGCCCATTGATCCAGCCTGTCTAGATCCCTTTGCAGAGCCTTCCTACCTCCAAGCAGATCAACACTCCCATCCAACTTGGTGTCATCTGCAACTTTACTGAGGATGCACTCGATCCCTTTGTCCAGATCATTCATAAAGAGATTAAATAGAACTAGCCACAATATTGAGCCCTGAGGAGCACCACTTAAGACCAGATGATTTTTTGTGCATCAACATATATCTAGGTAATCCTCAGAACATTTAGAAAAAAGAAAACTGAGATTATTTTAGAATTAGACAAGAATTAATGAACCATCTGCCTTTTGTCACAGTATATAAACCTAATAAATCATCAAACTTTTCACCAAAGGTATACAAAGAGGATTAAGTGGTGAAAAGCTAAGCAGTAAAATGAAGAATTTAATATTTGAAAAAAAAATGAGATCTCAGACCTCATAAATGAAAGTCATTTATGTAAATTCCAAAGATTTAAGCAAACAATCAGCATGCTGATTGTTCTAATGCATTATGGTTTACTTCAAGTGTCAAGATATCTAAATCAAACATTAAAAAACCCACCATATGTGAAAAACTTATGGCAACTAACTTTGTAGTGGATGAATGTTCGATAAAATTTAGGTCCGTGCATATACTTTTGTGAATAATCTTAAGAAAAAATAATACTGAGTGTGATATCACCTTCTTTAGAGATGTCACCTCTTGTGCTTAACTTTGGTTTGAGGCTTTGGTTGAGCTGTGGAAAAAACTGAGTAAACTAAAAAAAGATAAGGTATAAATCCTAAAAATAGACCAAACTTACGTGTTCAGTTCTCGCACTTAATGAATGATTTGCAGTAGTACAACCATATGTTTCTTACCTGCACCGTATGATTCCCTTTCTGTTAGAGAAACAAAATGTCAGAACACGTCTCCCACAATTATAATAGGTAAGCCATATGAACACATTAAAACATAGGTTATACAAAACTAATTGCAATACTGAAAGGATCTAATGTGGATGTTTAAATTATAAGTGCACAACACCAAACAGCACTTTATAAAAGATTTAGAGATGCCATGTTCTGTTATGCATATTTCTATGAGTGTTTCCAACCTCTGAGGAGGAATGCAGTATGACCAGAAAGATGTCTTTGGTTCTGCAGGTAAATATCTGAACTGTGCCTCTGAAGTTCATTCAAAGAAGAAAGGTTCTTAAGGATTTTAAGTTATAAACCACTGGGGAAATGCACTATAGAAAATACTCTGAGATTTCTAGTCCTTTTTTAATACAAATCCCAACTTCGGAGTCTCACCAGAATAACACTAAACCTTAGCTATTAAAATATCCCGAGCCTAAGGAAGGCTTAGCATTAAGATACACTATTTCTGGTCAGCTGGGAGCAAAAAGGAAAAAGCTTGGAAAACTGTGTAAATCAGAAGGTAGTGGGGGTCTGGATTTTCCAAGGGCAAAAGCTGGCACAACTCCACTGAACACAGTAATCAATTTCCCGCAGTGTAGGATTGCAATCTTCTTTTGTTTGTTTTCAAACCCATGAGCCTAACAACAAGATTTCAGCTCTTTAATGCCTTTACAGAAAAGCTTATTTCCTTTGATAATAATAACAATAACATTAGTTTCTTTTTTCTCCACTGCAATTTAGACTAAAAAAAAAAATGGTCTAATCCACCATAAAATAACAAACAAAATGCCATTGCAAATAAAAGCTTCTCTCTACTACTTGGAAAAAGGTTTAGCTAGACTGCCAGTCAACAATGAAGCAATAAGCAGTGTTCAAAGATATTTCTGATAGTGATATTTCAGGTCTTTCTGCAGGCTTGATGCAACACATCTGTAGAACTTGAAAATTGTCTTCAAAATCACCACCATGCAGGCTCTCTCTTGTCATTAAGAGTATGCCAATGTTCACATCCTAAATCCTTAGTACCAAAGCTCTACAGTTCAACAGCTTAATAAAAACTAAAAAATCCTTGCACAAAGCTAGTGTGACATCCAAGGCATCAGCCTGAAAACTAGAAGTTGCCCATACCATATTCCCCCTTCCGAAATGTATCCTATTTTACCTTCAGCTTTCTGGAAAACCAGGAATTTGAACTTTAAATTCTTAGCAAGCATTAGAAAGACTAAAATGCTATTAAAAAAAAAAACCAACAAAAACACACCAAACCTCACAACCCACTATCTTTTATTTAAAAGCTCTATTACATAGAGACAGAAGTTTTAAGTGCAGTATTCAAGTTTGAAGTGTAGTAATGATAGGTAGTACTAGAAGTTTCAGATCATGTTCTGAAAAATCTCAGCTGCTGAAAAGCTAGCCCTGAAAAAGCCAGCACCACCTTCATTTGAAAATCCTTACAACCCCACCCTCTTCCTAACAATCCTCTGACCTGCGCATCACATATGCTGCCTCTGTACACATAAATTACTTGCATTTTTAAGTTCCTTCATGGATTCTCCCCCTGTCATAGTTCAAGCCCAGCCAGTAACTCAGAACCACGCAGCCGATCGCTCACCCCCCTCATTATATTACTTAACTATGGGGAAAAAAGTGCTATGCCACCCATTGAGTTGCTAACTTTAGAATCTCTTAGCCACACCTCTTCAGCAGGTCAGATGCATGCCTGTACATCTTCAGTCATCATCCACCAATTAACACAAGCAACCCAAATATCGGCTGTGGGGGAAAAGGAACATCCCCTACTTCCTCTGTATCATTTTACATCATACCACAGCATAAGACTTGCAAATTATTTATTATTTCACAATAATTTGCATATATCAGCCAAACACAAGATGTGTTACACAGACCCCATTAATATATTGGAAAGAGGATTTGGCTATACAGAAGTTCATGACTTTTGTCCTTCACTAAAATGTATACATAGGAACAATCCTAGGACTTTCATTATACTTTACAAGAAAACAGTAAGCCAAATGTGGTATTTTACAATATAATTAAAGTCTTTTAGCAGCTTAACATTCAAGTATCTCATATCTGGCATTAAAATCATTTGCTTATGGCTTTGTTGACAATACAAATTTTGGGGAAAGAGTGGATACTCACTGAAACTACATTCACAAAGTCATCATCAGACAAGGTCTCCAACATCTCAATGACTGAAGTGCGGATCAGCTTCAGCGTCAATCCACTGACACTTCCGCTCCTAACAGAAATCCACAAGGCAAAAGAAAAGTTGAATTTAACAAATTTTATTTAACATGTAAACAAAAAAAAACTAAAAACCAAAACCCCACAAAAATACAGAGAGTGAACAAGCACTGTCATCAACATTCTCACTAAAACTGTCAATAATTCTCCCGAGTTCTTCATTAGTTTTATTACCTTCTTATAATAAGAAATTAAGTCCAAAACTGGCATTCTGAGCCCCAGTCCTGTGGCTCAGGTGGAGTTATAACAGTACAGCACTTCTGCATTTTCATCTCAAGAAATCTGAGTTTACTGCCTTCAACCAATGCATTATCTAAACATTTTATACTACCGCACATAGATTTACAGCTTTAGATTTTCAGACACTCTAATGACAGCTTGTTTCTTTCAAGGAAAAACCTAAACAGAAGTGAAGAAATAAAAAACATTGATAAAACTCACTGCTAATACGAAAGCACTTCACATTTTAAAGCATTAAATTTAAATCCTTTTTCTGATAAATTTTTCAGCATAAAGCAATCTGTTTGACACATCAGGTTCAATCCTTTCTTTGCTCCCTCAACATTAGCTAAACAAAGGAAACCTTGCCAAGGCAGAGAGAGGTTTTATTGATTTCTTTGCTCATTTTCTATTAATGTTTTATTGCAAGCAACCTTCACAAATTTTAAATATTTATGGTAAAACATGCGAAGTCTGCATATATTCTCATCTTTCAGGCTAATGAATTCACGATTAAACCTACTGTATACGCTTCTAGTCATTTGGGTTTAGGCCTGAGTTTTACAACAAATCTTGGCAAGCACAAGAGAAATTTCCAGTTGATTACTTCAGTAATTAGAAGCTGAAAGCAGAATAACATTAAAGCGATTAAAAACACTTCCTTGTCCCCAGTTTAATTTTCAGGTTTGGTTTCAGCTCACTGGAACTATTTTTTTTCTGTATATTTATTTTGTTCATAACAAGATTTTTTATCCTTGCATATAAACACTTCTTAATCCTCTCTCCATTTATCAGCATCCAGAGACTCGTTCAATATATCTAAGTACTTTTATCCCTCTAATATTAATAACAAGACATTAAACACTTACGCATCAACTAAAATAAGCATGTCTTTGGGAGATGCAGCTCCTTGAATATACCTGAAATAAATAAAGGGTATGAAAGACACAAATTTGGAAACATATTTGTTGTGTTTGATGAAAGACCCTACAATCTCTAAACTAAGTCTAGCTGAAACCAAGAAAACCTCCCATTGTAGCTAATAGAAAACCATGGGCTATCCTCTTCTCTCTTGGTGTGTCTTCTCTGTAAACCAAAGTCTAAACTAGTTTAAGGAAGTCTGGAAATGGGATATACCAATCAGAAAAATTCACTGTTTCCAGATGTTGATAACTCTAAAATATAAATGCTACTTCAGAGCTAATGATTTTGATAACAGATGAATTATTACATTAGCCCAGTTTAGGGAAAAATACATTCAACTAGTATCAATGTACATTATGCCTTGAGAGGCTTACAGAAAAAAATCTTGTGAAAGAATCCCATTGTTCCATTGTCTTCTACTAATCTAGAGATTTTTCTGCTGGTATAAACCACTCAGACATATTTGTAAACATTTTCAAAAATCCAGAAGATTGTCTCAGTCTAATAATCTGAATTACATTAGATTTTGGCACAAAAATTTTTAATTGCCTTATACCAATTTGACAGTTATCCTCCTACGAAAAGGTCCCTGTAATGCTACAGTATGACACACTACAGTGGATATTGCATAACAAGTAGTATGATTTGAGAATTGTTTATTCAGAAGAATCAAATTCTTTTTAAGAAAGAAAATAGCAACGTCTAAAAGCAAGGACTACTATATATAAATGATAAAAGAAATACGCCTTTATAGTCATCTCTAGATATATCATTTCTTTAAAGAAAACTTACCATGGTCTTCTACGAACATCATAGAGATCTATTTTGTTTGGAGTTCGACTTTTATCTACCCATGGGGAAGCTAAAAAGGTAAAAGAAAACTTATAGAATATATTTTAAACTTTATCTTAGGTATTTAAATACAACAATATAATGAAATCTTTGCACTATATAATTATCAGGATTTGGTATGGATAAAAAACCACCTGCGTTAGTGTAATCTGTTTTCTTACACCCATATATATATATATCAGCATATATAAAATGCAACAAACCTTAAATAAATACAATTTATTTTAAATAATATATCTAAAATATATTTCTTCTAAATAAAATAAACACAAATGCAGATAGAGACCTTAAAGTGCCAAGTTGTGTTGAAGAAATAGTTACTGACTCTAATTGACCTCTGAGTTCAATGGAACCAGAATTTCAATCAAAGTACTTTAGAATATGAAATAAGCCTTTTTTGAATAAGAAAATACTTACAAACTTTTATAAACAGTTATAAGTTCATTAATGTTTATACAATAATACTGTACCGATTTAAAACTCAGTTATACATCTAAAAATTATATACCTACTCAACATAGATTTACCTAAAAATGGAAATTAGAAAAGTAGCATGCAAGTATTGTACTTTCTGAACAGAAAATGGCATGGAAATATTCATGTTTCCGTAAAGAAAATACTGAGATTAATAACCTTTTGCAAGCATTTAATCTAAGCTTTACCACAATTTTCAGCAATGGTGAGAAACCTGCCCTTCCTAAAAAAAAAAATATGAGCTTAATAAACACAAACAGAAACGTGAAAAGTTACATGAAATGAAATAATGTTCTGCAATTTGCTCTCTCAGTGTATGCCAACAGCACTGGGGGAGCTATTTCCTGACATTAATAATTTTTTTCTGTCTAGGAAATAAAGAAAGACATAGGCAGCTCCAAGTTTCTTCCTGAGAAAGCATTTATCTAAGACAAATTGGAAGAATTATGAATTCTTCCATCCATGAATATAAAAGAAGCCACCAGCTTAGAGTAGCTGCTTATTTTTGAATTTACTAGACAAACCCTTTCTTGTGAGCATAACATGAGCTGGAACATCAGTTACCAGAAAATTTAAACCAAGCATAACCCACAGGACATTATCAGTATATATTCATCACACACAGAAAATGCTGCCTACTTGTAGAACTACAAATATATTTTAATATAATGCCACTTAGAGGTAAGCACATCAATTCCTTGAGGCTAACACCAGTTGACAGAACACACTTCAGAATTGGGCCCTTTAGACCAAACTCAGTGTAGCAAATATTTCAGAAAGATGAAGATGCAAAATTAATATTAACCTGAACTGGTGAGGAAACACCAAATAATAAAATATGAAATGCCTGAAACTTGCCCTATTATTTCCAAAACCACCAAAAGGCTCTGTAGGGGAAAAGCTGGGTATTTTTAACTGCAATACTAACTAAACACTTTTAAAGTTTATTGTTACTTTGTCCTTTCCTCTTTCCCCTTTTCCCCTATGAACAACTAAGCCTTGCACTCAGTTCTTCCATAGTTTTGCAGTAATTTCCTGGATTGGAACAAAGTTTAAACTGCCCCTTTCTGGCTACATGTATATTAGTAAGTTAAAAAGCACAACTGAAGGAAAGACATTCACTGGAACTAGACTAAGAGCTATTACAATTGTCCAGTTATACACAGAAGACACTATAAATAACCCACTCAGAGCACTACTTACAGCCTATCTAATCCTTGGGGGGATTACTGTGAACAGTAACTCACTAGCTTGGCCCTTTCAGTATGCACAGTCCTGGAAGACTGATAATAGCTTCAGAGAGATCTGGAGAAGATCTTCAAAAACATAATTTCTCACCATGCTGTTAAGATAGTATTTTCTGTGCCACACATCAGTAAGTTTCTTTTTCCTAATTAGTATATTACCTTCTCTTGAGACAAATATATCAAGCACCTACATGCTTAAGTTTCCATTTGAGGAAATTTGTCTGTATTTATGATGGGATTGCAGAATTTTTCATCAGATATTAATGGCTGCTGAATCATACACACACTAATTATGAAATATACTGTTTACTGAGAAAACTCATTCTATTGATCTTTACAATGTTTTCTACAAAAGTTTACATAATCTAGTAGTAAGTTTCTGCATGGCTAAACATAAATAAGTATCGAAAAATTCATTCACACCAAAGAAGTGATGAATTCTCCTTCAACCTCAGGAATTAAGATGACTAAATTACTCACTCATCCTAAAATCTCTCTGGATTATCACTTTCAATTTTAGATAAATTTGAATTATTTCAAATCTATTCCCTGTTTTTGTTAATGTTTGCAGTATTTAAGGATCCTATTGAAATTGCTATTAATAGGAAACTGAAATTCCCCTCAGACATTTGATCTCCAATGATCTAGTTTTAATTTGCCACAATTTTATCTTTAAAAATGCGATTTTTTTAGAAGATTGTAAATTCTCTCTATGCAAAAATAAGTAATTATGCATTTACAACTATATAGGAAATAGGATGGAGACCTATTGAAAAAGACATGTGTTGCCTTGGTCCATGTACAAAACACACTATAAAACCATGTAGGGAAACTGGCTTACATCTTACTGACAAAAGCCATCATAGGGTCTAAGATGGAAGCAAAATGAAATACACAAAAAGATGATTACTTATTTTCCTAAAAAAAACCCAAAAGTGAAGATCAAGGATTTTGAGATTTACAGTTTTATTTGTGTAATCTCTTGTTTAAAACATTCATTTTAACTAGACGCCTTGGAACCTGGAGCACCAAATATCTTGAAGAAGTCAGCCTCACCATTCTGCATTGCTGCATACTCCTATCCTTGAACTATGTCAACACTGCACAGTTCTCTGTTGCATACATTAAACTTCAGTCATGTTCACCTTTGATGACTTTCTTGTTTGGCATGGGTTAGATTTGATGTTTTATAAACTATTCACTGGATGTTATATCCCTCCCACTTCTGCTGTTTGCATTATGGAGATACAGACCTACCTATATTTCAAGCAAGAGCAAGGCATGTTATTCCGTTTTCTCTGCACATGTACAGTGGAAATCCTCAGTGTGGTTGATTACATGGAAAATCAGTTCATGAAAGACAGAGATTGTCACAGGGTAAAGTATAAATGAAAGTATTTCTTGGGAAAGGGAGCTACATGTGCCCATTTTTAATTCATATGATTCCAGTGTCATGGGGGAGGCTTTCCTGATAAAGTCCTGCCGAATCGGTTACATCTGCCCTTCTCTACTGGTTAGGTATGTATGTGCAAGGAACAAAGAGGCACAGATGAATTATTAACAGCTTTACACCCCTGTAACACATTTGGGGAAAGAGGCTAAAGCTGACAGTAAAACAGGTAACAAATGCCAATTATCAAATTCCAGACAGCATCATCTATTCTGGCTCAAACTTCATTACCTTTCCATCTCAGAGAGTTACTGGGTAGCCAACCTCAATATAACATTTAGTGGGTTAGGCAAGCAAATATTTCCTAAAGCTGACTTTTATCTTGCTATCTCTCAATAATCATTCATGTAGATATTCAAAACATTTAAACCCAGACTATTAAACTCCTTGTGTCGGATTCAGTAAAGTCTTCCTGAGATGTAGTGAAAGTTCAGCCTTCAGCTTACACTTCGCCTTCAGTTTCATTTCATAATTCTCGTATTTTAGAGAATTTATGTGAACAAACCTGTTTTCCAGTATACAGTAGCCCACTCTAGCTGGGAAATGTGGCATTCCTGAGCTTACTAATCAGAAAGAAGCCATGTGAATTTTGGTGTAGCAACAGCACCTTTGCAGAATTAGTTATTTTTCAGTAAAAAGTAAGAAGTGGTGAGATGTGGGAGCTAAAAATAATAAACAACCCCCCCATGACTTTGGGAGAGTTTAACATTAATTGTCGTAAAGTGTTTTGTACCAGTGCACTTAGGATATCTGTATCATAATTATGTCTTGGATTGCCCAAAGAAGCTGTGAATGCTCCATCCCTGGCAGTGTTCAAGGCCAGGTTGGACAGAACCTTGGGTGACATGGTTCCCTGTGTGAGGTGTGAGTGTGAGGTGTCCCTGCTCATGGCAGGGGGGTTGGAACTTGATGATTTTCAGGTTCTTTCCAAAAATAACTGTTCTGTGATTCTAATAACTTATTAGTAGTATCCACCCAAGACAGAGAATGTTTCTGACCAGTTCCATGCTACCACAGAAGATGTTAAGTCTAGACTGAATGCAGCACTTCTTAACTATTTTACCCAGATAATGGCCTTAACTGCAAGACATTAAATGATCTTCAGGTAAAATCCACCTAACATAGCTCTGTGCAATGTCTTCTGTATCTTTAAATAGCATCATCACCATACAGAAGCGAGAGGATAATTTTCTGAGTTTTTTCAAGAATGTATTTGAACATGAAATGCATACTGTAGTATGCAATGTAAAATTAACCTATCAAATGGCTCTGTGTTCAGTCAAGAGGCAAATATTTCTGCTTCCACATGCATAAACTGAATTTCATCCTCAAAATATGGGTTGCTTTTATTGGTTTTACCTGGACTAGCTGCCATCCCCCACCAAGTGTCTGGAGTATCAGAGCTTGAGGAGGAGAGGAACAGAAGTAACAAGATTTTTTGTTGGGGTTTTGTTGTCTTTCTCCCATTAGAACAAATTCTGAAGATTTTAATTTGTTTTAAATAAAGGAAGTAAACAACACTCAAAGATGCTTATTTCAATGCAAAAAGTAGAACTATCCAACTTACACACTAATTGCACTAATTGATGAATTTGAAGCTGCGTTACTGAAAAAGTGTTTTGGATTTTGTTTTGTTCTTTTACTTTAAAGGCTCCTTTAAATATTGAGTTGTTAAAAGGAACTAACAGCTATTAAGCATGAAACCTTTTGCACACACAAAAGTGAAGTTCTCAGTTTTTCAAGGCTTTTGATTCATTTTGTATGGATTTTTTAGGCTTTCTAGTCTCCTTGTATCTCTTCAGTAATGACTTTCTTAGGGAGTTCAATAACATGGCTGCA